TAATATATATATATATTATTCAGTTATCTTTAATGCAAAACCAATGATGTTATTCTTAATCTTAAGAATTGATGCACAAAAACTTGTAACCAAACGACATGCTTGATGAAATGGAGGAAATTTTTTTCTTGCTCTTATTTTGTATGTGTTGTTTTGTTTTTTAAGAAAAAGAATAATATATATATATATTAAATATATATATTTAAAAAAAAAGAAAAAAGCACCTTTGGGACAACCGTGACCTGGATGACTGAGAATCTCCATTGAGAAGTTCCCTGAACTTTAGCTATTTCACCCTACAAACTTGATTCACGGCCCTTCCATTTTAAAGAGCGGGGGGGACTACGGCCACGGGAGTGGGTCGGAGCATTGCGGTCGTGACAGGGAGGGGCAGATACGGGGGGGGGGGGAGTAGCAGGAGTAAGAGGCAGATTCTGTTGCCTCTAATCGATAAACCAGCACTAATCTGACTCAAGTTAAGGGCGCCTCTTTTATTCATTTTTACAGATGAGTAGAATCCTGGATGAAGGCGAAATTAAAAGAAGAACTGGGACAGGCTTATATCAAGGAAAGTACGAGAGAGATTCCTAGCTTATGACAAGTTGCTGCTCGTACATGGTGTCTAATAAAATTGACTCTTTGACCATCTTAATGTTAATAGCAGTGGTGAAATCTATTACTATTGGTTCTGTGAGCGTGGCTTGGTGGGGTCATGTGACTGGGTGGGCGTGGTTATGTAGTCATGTAACTGGGGGGGATCAAAAGACAGAAACTCACTTTAACAATGTCCTGCTGGAGCAGGGTTGGACTAGATGACCTCCAGGTCCCTTCCAGCCTAGGGAAGCCTGCTGGGAGCAAAAATGGACTCCCCCTTCCCCCGTGTTTCCAGAGAACCTTTAGTAAAAAAAATGCTTAAAAAGTTTTTTAAAAAAAGTTCTGAAGATCAGCTGTGCGACGTGTGATCGTCGGAATTTAAAAAAAAACTTTTAAAAGTATTTTTTACTACCGGTTCTGAGAACCAGTACCATTTTCTACTACCGGTTCGGGGGCCCTGGTTAATAGTTTAATATATTGCAATTGACACCTGAGGTTTATTAAGGAGAGTTTAACTACAGCTAAATACTATAACTTAGTGCAACGAATGAACAGGCGGATGTGTTTGTATGAAAAATGACATATAAAAAAAAGAATGGATGTGTTGATTCTGGCCTCTGGCTCTTAGATGGGCATCTTATCAAATCTCCCCATCCAGATTTAGGTGTGAGAAAACTCCAGTGTCTCTTACCGCTTCCAGCTCATGGTTCCGGGCCCGGAAACGCTCTCTCTGGCTAGAGATGATCGAGAGCAGAGAATCGACTTGACCTTCTGGAACCTGGGTGCTTGCTGACGATGGATGGCCTGGAAAAAAGATTATGGTTAGAGATGAAGAAGATGGAGAAGATGAAGGCCAGACCCATGGAGTACTGAAAAAATGTTCTGCCTGCAAGATGTTTTACAAAACCTGGTGGGGTACAGAGAAAGACTTGTGGCAGCGGTGAGTTGCAGGCGATATGCCCCAGTACGGGTGTACTGGTGCCTGCTGGGAGCACCAGGTACCGTTCCGGTACGGTGCTCCGGAGGATCTACCTGCCCGCCCTCCTTACTTGTATTTGAGCTCTTTGGTGCTTCTGCGCATGTATCGTACGGTGCCTGAGTGACGCTCTGCCGAGCAGCTGGAGCGTCACGGAGGCATCGTGGAGCATCGCAGGAAGTAAGGACGCATGCACCCACTGCGCATGCGTGCAAACGTGCTGCGCACATTCATGTGGTGGATGCTGGGCCCCGTTGCACCGTACTGGTTGCACTGGGATCCGGAACCCACCACTGACTTGTGGTCAGTGAAGATGGATTCTGCCACTTCTCTTTGCTGATTAATCGGTTAAATGTTTTCCAACAATGTGCTTGAGCAGAATCCGAACGAGGCATTTACCATAGAAAAGTGCCGTTGCTTCTTTAATGGGCTCAGGAACAGTCTCCAGGTTCTGCATGGCAGCCCCCTGGGGAAACAGAAGAAGAAGAAAATAAACGAGTGGGCAGGTAAAGAATTCCTTCTTTGAGGTATGTTTTCATCCCTGCATTGGTGATGAGAAGTTGGAGCTAGTTACCTTTTTTCCCTCCTGACTCGTCCACTAAGCTTTTCTTTTCCCTCCGGCTTTGAAGTGGGCATGGCCACCTGTTACGTCCTTCAAAGGAAAGGCTGGTGTTCTTGCTAATCAGAGGATTCCCCCCCCCCCCAAATAAAAATGCTACGTGTTCTGATAAAGAATGGGGCATGCCAAGCAGCAAATTTGGATCATTATGAATTTATTTTGAAACAAACAAACGCTCGGACTAATTTTACAGATGGCATCTCAACTACATCAGGGCAGTCAAACTCGGTTTCATTGAGGGCTGCATCAGGGTTGTGTTTGACCTTGGAGGGCTGGGTGGTGGTGGTTGGGCATGGCCATGGTGGGCATGGTTGTGGTTGGGCGTGGCTGTGGCAGGCATGGCATGGGACCCATGCGGAGGCACCTGGGATAGCCAAATGTTAAGATAGGATTTTCCTGAGACCATGCCTCGCTCTCATTATAATCTCCTTCCTTCCTTCCTTCCTTCCTTCCTTCCTTCCTTNACTGCAATATACTATACCTTGCAGACAATGGATTTGTTTAATGACCAGAGATCCACTTAATGAACCACTGCAAAAAATGTAAAATTGAGTTGGTCATGTGAGACGACCTGCTTAATGACCAACACTATTTATAACTGTAATTCCGGACTCAGTTACACTCGTAAGTCGAGGACTACCTGAACATGGTAAAAAAAGGAAGGTGGACAGGATCGTTTTGCAAACACAGATCCAGGTTTCTGCTACCGGGTCTCAAAACGGGCAGCCTGCTGTGCTGTCCTTCTGCTTTGCTGACTCACCCGGCCTGGGTAGCTTTGCAGGAACTTAATTTTTTCATAAAGTTTGATGTTGTCGGCTCGCAGGTTGTCCAGCTCGCTCTGCAGCGCTTGCATTGTGTGCTGCATCAGACGGTTCTCCTGACATTAAAAGAGGACAAAGGGACAAAATTAAACCCGGATGCTCAAAACGGCACCGAGGCAGCAGAGCTCCTAATCAAAACACAGGCATTAAATAATAATCTTATGGAAGAAAAGAAGTGCTAATAACCAAAACAAGAATGACAATTTACACAAGGTTTTCTCAACGTCCACTCTGCCTAAATGTTTACAGCCAAACCATCTTCTCTGAAGCCATTTGGGTAGGTTCACAGTAATGTTTAGATTGGAGCTAAGAAGTTTCCTGAAGTTTTTTTTTCAAGAGGCAACTGGGCTTTCTGGTTTTTCTTTGAAGACGTTTCGCTTCTCATCCAAGAAGCTTCTTCAGCTCTGACTGGATGGGAATAGAGTCAGAGCTGAAGAAGCTTCTTGGATGAGAAGTGAAATGTCTTCAAAGAAAAACCAGAAAGCCCAGTTGCCTCTTGAAAAAAGCACCTTTGGGACACCCGTGACCCTGGATGGCTGAGGATCTCCATAGACAAGTTCCCTGAACTTTAGAGATAGGTGGGGATAGGCGATATTATAATACTTGAAAGACTTATTGTTATTTGATAGATAATTATGAATTCAAGGAAATAAGGATTGTTACAAATGAAAGAATATGAATGGTAATTTGAACACATAATGCTCAATGACAGCGAAATATTCAGTTATGTTTCATGCAAAACCAGTGATGTTATTCTTAATCTTAAGAATTGATGCACAAAAATTTGTAACCAAACGATATGCTTGAATTCATAATTATC